ATTGACTGCCAAGTATCACTGAATTTAGAGTTGAGGAGCATTTTGCTGATGTCTTGGGCCCCCATGCATTGAATCTCATGATCCAAGTTGATATAGTTCCACATAATGGTCTACTATAATCCTACCCATAGGCAACCATGTAGCAAGTGTTAGAGTCAGTCAATTCCTAGAGACTCTTGGTGTTATATAACTCAGGATGCCAGAGGGGCAGGGGCACCACTTTCTCAGATGTGGACCATACTCTTACTGGTCTATATACTTTGATTTCTCAGATTCAAAAAGACCATGGCATGGTGAACTCATCATCTTTGCAATAAATAACACTGATAATAGTACTGTGAAAGATCTAGAATAGCTATAAGGTTGATTCAAGTGCGAGATAGGTTTATTTGAAGGTCTATACTATCTTATGTCCAAGTCTTGTATCATACTTGAAATTAATTTCTAACCAGTTGTAATAGCGAAGACACTCTTTTCTGCTCTATGGGTACCTACCCCCTCTTCAGCTACCTTCTATAACGCATGCCAGAACCACAACTAATTACAGTACAGGGTCCTAGTAGATATCCAGATACCCCCATACATGCATCTCAATGTCCAGTACTCAGTCTATATACCCCACTATTCATGTAAACCAGTTTCATACCTAACTGGTCTTTGAATGTCCATCCAAATTCATCCTCCATCAGCATTTAGAGATCAATCAAAGGATGGGGGGATCTGCATATACCTTATTGACTGAACTTGACATATTTTGATCCATAATCACCTACCACATCATGGCTGTATTGTCAATATCATGTGTAACAGTAGTCATATGTATAATGGAGAAGAACAAGCAATTACATAAATAAAGGATCATGGGGAGCATACCACCTTTTAGGTGGACCCCTCTGTATGCTTCCTACTTTCATCTCATCAGTAATCCTGTACCTCTAAGTAGTGATGGCTAAGTCCGGTTCGGTCCGGTTCTTGGCCCCTTTTAGCCAAACCCTGGACCGCCAGTCAATAACTGACTTAGAGGTGAGTTATTGGGAGATTGAATAACAGGATATTTGCCATATATACAGGTGTGTAGGGTGTCTAAAAATATGTGTGTCTTTCAGAGCCATAATGGATGTCCAACTGACTGTAACACAACTTAAATCATGGTTATCCATGCATTCCTCACCCAGATGTCAGGGCCTCATTGTGCTGGATAAAATTCAAAACAGAAAAACCCACAGAAACATGATATAACAGTATATTTCAAAGGTATGAGACTATGGTCATATAGGACCATATCAAGACAATATGACTACCTGCCTACTAATGTAACAATCATCTGAATCCATGGAGAACTAGCAGAGATATAGCTAGATTAATAAGTCTGATGCACAATTATTGGATAGTATGGATATACTGATAAGATCATATTGACAGGGATATTGACCCTACCAGTCAGGTGTCCTTAGTAGAACTTTAAGCCACGCTAGTTGTTGAGATATCATTTTATCAGTGATAGATCAGCTAGTGATTGGCTAGTGTGGACACAGCTAATCAAATGCCACTATAGGTTACTTAATGAAAGTTGTTTATATAGACAACTTTGGTGTTGTGACATTCTGTAATGATTGCATTCTCAAATCACGGAAATTTCCTGTCTTGGAAACGTATCATGTGTATCATATTATATTACAGTATATAACCACATGATACAGTCACTGAAACTACCTGCTCTAGTGTCTATTGATGAAAGTTTCTTTTTGAGACACTGTGTAACATGTCACATAGTATGACTCCGGGAGACTTGGCCTAGATAACCTATAGGCTATGTCATATTATTCACCTTTATTCACCCCTATATACTAGACTTAGCAAAAATTTGGCCTTAGACTTCACCCACAGTGGGGTGGGTGTTCCACATACCCTGTCGGGAAGCATGCTGGGTGTAGCCACCTGTGGTGGGTGCTACCTTGCCTTTTTAGGCAGGTGTGGGCATGACCATATGCCTGATGATGGGATCACCCATGGGCGCTGGCCAGAAACCGTCCGGGTGATCCCATCAGATATGGGTGATGCCCTCCACTTCAGGTGGGCGTTCCAGGGTGTGCCCACATTAATGGGTGGATACACCCACACCTGTCCTGTAAGGCATGATTGGGTACACCATGGCGGGTTCAAAGGAGGTGTTTGGGTATACCCAATCAAGCCTTGGGTGTTGCCTAGGTTGAACATGCCATCAGCATCATGCAGCATATGTGTCGATGCTCGGCATCTGCACCCAGTGTAGTCAGTAGTGTCTGGACCTTTATAGCATAACTTGTTGCCTTCCACCTCTAGACTAGTTACTTTCTAGACTCAGACTTGTTCTCCATCCCCCTTTTATTATTCTTTTGGATAAATATATAAGATAATATCATGTATAGAAGCCCTGCAAGCCAACCCACATACCTGTAGTTCTTTTCCTTGCCCTAGACTATAATAGAGCAGAGAATACCTTTCTATCTACTTATGCTAGTCACTCTATAGCCATCTGGACCCCCCCCTCTAGCCCAGAGCCCTAAACCCCCCTACATACCATACCCCCCCCCCACACCAAGCAAAGTCTTTTCCCGTCGCCTAATGACCATAATATATTACCTTAGACTAGTCAGAGCATATGTATAATTTTCATATATTTTTCCGATGAGTATATAGCTCAAAATGAATTGAATACCATTTGCTCAGGATGGGTGAACCACGGGCACTAAACAGCTAGTGTGATGTGACAGGAGGTGGAAACACCCATGGTGATGGGAACAGCCATAGCCTGTGGGTTAAACCCATGCAGGGGAACCTCTTAGGTTAGAAGTCAGGGGGGGGTATTTAACCCTAAGAGGTTTAGGGGGGTGGTAGCCTGAGGTGAGGACAACTCGCCCCTCGGAGAAGTTCTCCCACCGCCGCCTGGGACCGTTCAAGATAGTCACAGAGATCAGCAAAGGTGCCTACAAGCTCGACCTCCCTCTGCGCTACTCGAAGCTCCACCCGGTCTTCCCCATCGTCAAGCTCGAGCTCGCCCAGGACGACCCCTTTGACGGACGCCCTGGCTACGACCAGCCCCGGCTACGGACCTCGAGAACAGAGTCCCGGAGTGGGAAGTAGAGGAAATCTTGGATGCAAGAGTGAGGTATAAACGGCTGAACTACTTCGTCAGATGGAAAGGCTACGACGCATCGCACGACCAGTGGGTCCGCTTCGACCGCGTCTTCGCCCCGGAGAAAATTGCGGAGTTCTATTGTAAGTACCCTGGCAAGCCACGACACATCGCCTCCGCGACCTTCGACTCGATTCTGTTCCAGTCTATGCGTCGGGACACCGCATTCAAAAAGGGGGGGTGATCAAAGGGGAACCTCCCTTTCAGCCCATCAATGACACTGCCATTGTGTTGGGATCATCAAGTTTGATCAGAAATCAATTTATTTAATGGAAAATGATGAAGAATTGGGCTCACCATCGAGGACGACGTCGGCAGACTATTTGACAGGGGGTGCCTGACACCGGCGGGCAAGAAGCTCCGTGGCCGACGACAGTGGGCGGCGATTGGCGACATCAATCAGCGATCAGTGACATAAGTCACAATCGTGACGGCGACATCAAGGCCTGGGGGCGGCGGCGGGCAGTGCGCACAGTGGGCGGGGAGCGGGGAGGCAGTCGGGAGGGTGATGGCAGCCTCCGGGGCTCTTTTTCCGCTACCAAGACCGGCATTAGTAGCCGTATTTAGCAGGGGTGCCCGCTACTGGCTCAACCCCCTCTAGTTAGAGGGAGAGAGTGGGGTACTCTCTCCCTCTAACTAGAGGGTATTACTACCATATTAGGGTGCACTATAGGTGTTCTCTTCAGTCCTTGCACAGCACTTGAGTAGGGAATGGCACGGGTATACCCCCGGGTATCCAAGGGCCTACCCGTACCCTTACCCGTGACTTGAGACATATTCATATTTGGCACTAATTGTTACTAACTACTAGTAGTGTTGATCGCCAGTGAGCTCCCTCCCCTCAAGATCACAGTATAGATTTATCCTCTGTGAAGCCGGAAGGATCCTCTTTGTGATTGCAAACTCCATGCAAGCAGTACGTATGACTGTGGCAGGGGCTCCCAGATCGGGAAGCACTTGTCCTTCCACCAAACCCTGAAAAGTGTATTTTTAAGCCTGTATTCTATACAGGAATGAAATTTACACACCTGGATCACTGCATCGACCCAGTTCCGGCAGCGCCATTGTGGATCATCCTGAATGATTGGAGTGGCTAGTGCAATTTGCCCCAGCTTCTCGACATCTGAGTGTGCAATTTTCCCCAGAAATGCAAGGGACACGAGTCTGTTGCTCCGGTATGCGATCGGTTTTGGCTCGTACTCCCAGACCTTTCGGTTGGTCCCGGCGCGTTCATAATCGACAACATGGTAGAGGGTGGAGTTCTTGTCAGCCGGATTTGCCTTGGGATTCTTCGGTGCCAGGAGCAATGTGGTGTGTACCGGTGGGAGATGATCGTGCATGGATCGCTCATAGAATGCAAGATAGAGGCGTGGTTTGTTTTCTCCGAAGATATTCATGTTGGGAGTGGTGGATCTTTCGTAGTAGGAGTCCAAGAAAGTGGCGCTGGCTGGCTGTCGGATAGTACTGGTGAGAACTTGGTGAAAGCCCCTGCCCCCGCTTTTATACTTTTATGCCTTGTTCTTCAATGTGGGTCACTGCCTGACAACCGGTACACACAATCAGCATGATTATCAGGTTACTCTCCGAGAACAGAAGGTCATGAAGAATAACTACAATAGAAATGTCCATGTGCTCTATTTGGGTTTATTGTCTGTGTGGCAACAACGATCCATTCTGGGCCACTCAGGGCTTGTTCAAGACAAGGAGCTCGATAGTTATTGGTCAATACAAAAGAACAATCAAATGTGGGTGATTTCAATCTGTCGTGTGCCACCACTGTGACGGCAACGGCAGAGAAACGTTGTGACGGTGACGTGGCTGTCTCTCCCAGCTATTTAACACCACCGTCATTCAACGTGGTAAGGTGGGCTCGTCCAGTGTCACTCACCGAAAGCTTTGAGATTGGCCTTCGTAGACAATGGCCCTTCGCAAAACAGACTCCAACTCTCAGTCGAATATCGAATCTGGTCCTCTGGCCTCCCTGTACCTGTCTATGCGCTTGGGATTGGGGGAACGCATCTACGGGAGTTATGAATCCATTACCCGGATCAGCCCCAAGCTGGTGCTCAAATGTGGGCCCGAAATCCGCCACTCTGAGGCGCTTACAATGCAATACATCGCCGCCAAGACGACGATTCCGGTCCCACGCGTCCACAGTGTTTTCCAGAACCGTGATGGCCGCCTCCGAATCCTGATGGACTACGTCGCGGGCGATGAGCTGGAGAAGGTCTGGGACCAGATGACGCCGGACCAGCAGCACGACGTCGTCCGCCAGCTGCGCGGCTTCCTCGCGCAGCTCCGTGCGCTACCGCCGCCGCATCCCGGGGCCGTCGAGGCTGTGGACGGCACGGCCTGCAAGGACTTCCATATCCGGCCGAACAGCACGGGCTTCGGACCCTTCCCCTCCGTTACGGAGTACCAGGAGTTCTTGGGCTACCGCTCGCTGATGACGACGCACCGGGGGCAGTTCCCACAGCACGAGGCGTCGCTCCGGCTCTGCGAGCAACGCGCAGCGGCCGGCGCGTATCGCACCGTCTTCACACACTGTGATTTGGCGCCGCGCAATATCATCGTCCGCGGCTCTACCATTGTGGCGGTCCTGGACTGGGAGATGGCCGCGTGGATGCCCGAGTACTGGGAGTACACGACCGCCGCGTTCACGAACAGCAGCATACCGACATTCTGGGACATGATGAAGGAGCATGGGTTTCCTGAGCAGTATCCCGCTGAGTTTGATGTTGAATGCTGTATGTCTGCGCTGTGTACTCGGTATTAGATAACTCTGCTGTTAGACTAGTACTTGGTCATCCTATGCTTTTCATTCAGTGACATTCACGCGGCTTGATTCTGAGTAGTGCTCTTCGAGGCCGGGCCCGGGCAATTTTTCGTTGCATGCTGCATATTAGTGTATATTGATGTTTTACAGGTGAATAATGGTATATAGGCTGCTAATGAGCTCTCAGCGCTGCGCCTCGGCCGCTCCCCCAGATTCAATGACCTCAACCATTGTGCTTGAGCCTTGAAGTCCAATTGAAGTCCGAGTCGCGGCGTGCCATCTCCATCTCCTTCCCACCAGGTCGGATGTTGCAGCTGCAAACAGCTTGGAAAGGAATTGTAAATTCCTCAGCCTCAGCTGTCCCTCAGAGGTTTGAAGGCAAGCATAAAAGAATGCCCAGAGCAAGACATGAACTTTGCATTAGGGTGCTGTGAGTAAGCGTGGTTTCGAAACCGGTTTCAAAACACGTGTGCAAAACGTTGGCGCCGAAAGAGATGGCAGCGGAAACCGGCCGCAAAAATTGCTTCAAAGCATTATAAGTCAGAGATCTACGGGCACCATGTCACATAGAACGGGGACTGCGATGCATATGCGCCGGCGACTCGGACGTCTGCGGCCCGCCCCGCTGGCAGGACAAAGGCCACCATGATCAAAGCACATCATGATCACGGCACACCCCGCCGGCCGGCGACGTGAAAGCGACAAAGAGCGTCTTTGGCTCTTTGTGCGGCCGGTATATATAAAGGGCCTGCAGGGGCACCGGGGAGGCCCCATTCCCATACCCTTGCCACTGCCACCCCAACGATGTCCGTGCTCGAGATCCCGAGCCTCGCGCCGCCGCCGTCGGCGCTCCCGCCGCTGCCCCTGTCGCTCCCACTCGAATGCGCCGGCGCGGCTGTGCTGGAGATACCGAGTCTGGCGCCGCCCGCGCGTGCGCTCCCGCCCCTGCCGCGGCCGACGGCGGAGCATTCCTACCGCGCGCCGACCTCGGTGCTGGAGATCCCGAGCCTCTCGCCGCCGCCCTCTGCGCTCCCGCCGCTCCCTGAGGAGGACCCATGTACGCCGCACGCCAGCGCGGCCCCGCCGGCGTGCGCGCTGCCGCCGCTGTCCGCGTTTCTGAAAGAGGAAGCAGAAGAGCTGTGCTACTCCGGCCGCGGGCCGGCGAATGCGCCGGCCCGAGGCATCCCGCAACCCAAACGCACGCATGAGGACCACGACATCGACGCGCTTTCCGAGTCGGCCGCACGCTGCGTCCTCCTCGCGCTCGCCCGGGCGGACTCGGAGGCGCGCGCGCGGTTCCAGTTTCGCTGGCACTGCCAGACTGCTAGTGCATGAGCTAGCTTCCACTCATGATTTTTCTTTCTTAGCTCTTTCTGCATGCTTCACGCGTCACGCGTCACGATGTCCCTGCATGCCTGAGTACCGTACGAATGTGTATCTAATCTAATCTCGTGCATCATGACTGGAAATCAAATCACGCCATCGGCATCACGCCACCGCATCACCTGTGACATCACCTCCTGCTCTCTTCTCTCCTCCCACACGATCGCCGCTGGACCCGTGCGCTGCTCCACAGACTTGACGCCACCGCGACGGGCACCCTGCGCTAGACGCCTGCCCGGCCTCGTGCACATGACGCCAATGCATGTGCGTCCTGGCGTCGCAATTTTGGAGTGAACGCGGGTGCTGTTGACACGATTTCGGACGTCATCGCGTACGCGTCGTGGGCGTTAAATACGCGGCCCCGAGAGTGTTTGCTGCTGAAATCCCACCCATGGCACCCTTCTTCGCACTCGCGTACGTGTCCTGCTCGTTTCCGTTGTCGTGGGCTTATTTGGAGCAGTACCATCCTCGCGTCGCTGACGACCTCCGTCGTGGCTGTCGCGAACGTCCGCTGTGCGCCGGTGACGGGCCACACGATGGCCGTGAGCTGGACGTCGGACGCGGCTGACTCGTGCGTCGCGTTTACTTGCTGCTGGAGACGAGCTGACGAAGGAGTAGGGCCCCGATGAACGTCGCGCTGATGAGCGCCGCGGGGAGTGAAAGCTACATTGTCGCGGAGAACGTGCACCCGAAGGCCAACGCCGTCACGGTCCCGCTGCCCGACGTCCTCCCGGGGTGCGTCTGCCCTCCCCCCTTCCAGCTGACCTGACCCCCCGCAGCGCGTACATAATCTCGCTGCTCCCCGTCCCCTCGCGCTTCTCGCGCAGCCCCCTCCCCCGGGCCGCGCTCGCCGCCTCGCCGCCGTTCCACCTCGCCGCGCGCCAAGCCCCGTCCTCCTCGCGCAGCAGCACCCTCCCGCCGCTGTCGCGCACGGCCTCCTCGCTCTCCGCGAGCGTCTCCGCCGCGCAGTCGAGCATCTCCGCCGCCGCGTCCTCCGCGCTCGCCTCCCTCTCCTCCGCGCAGTCCGCGGCGCAGTCGAACCTCTCCACCGCGCTGTCGCACTCGAGCTCCGTCGCCGCGTCGCTCAGCAGCGTGCTCGCGAGCCAGAGCGGGTCCGGCTCGGGGAACGCCGCGACCGCGGTAAGGCTCGTCGGCCCGGGTGTGGGCGTCGCGATTATGGCGGTGCTCGGCGGGGTGCTCGCTGGCGCGGCGTTGTTGTAGGGTCGTAGTATGATAAATGGACTTATATGTATGGACAGTAGGACTAGGAAGAGGGTGAAAATTACGACTACTACTACGTGCAACTGGTAGTCACTCAGCCTGCGGCCAATGGGCCTGTTCGCGACAGTCCAAGGCCATCCCACACTTACAGTCCATGTCCTTCTTTTTGCTGGTTATCTCGAGACTGCTGTATGCGCCGGCCCGGGACGAGTTTTTTTTTTTTTGGTTTCCCCATCCCGTGAATATTAATGTCGGTCTGACAGGTATCCACAGCACGGTACACGCCCCACGCGCCCCCAGCCGCACACATCCAAGGGACAACATTCCTTGCAGCATGTACAGCCGGCAGCCCAGCCGTAGTGTGCCGGCGTGGCTGCAGCGCACCGCCCCACGGCCAGGCTCCACGCCGTCTTCGGGAGGACGCACGCGGGCCCGGATGCTTGCCGGGCGCTGCAGCGTGCGGCGCACAACCCGCGGAGCACGGCTGCCGATGCGGCGCACGGTAGGGCTTTTTGGTGCCGATTGCATTGTGATGGCAGCTGTCGGGTGCTTGGCGCAGCCGGGTGGGTGGCCCGAATAAACATTTCCTTTCTATCTAAGTAGTTGACATTGTTTAAACCTTGTTTTTAATCAATAAAAGTCACCATTTTTCAGCCATTATTACCTTCATTAACATTTGAAAAGTCCTCCAGTTTCTTCTGAGTTGTGGGGGTGAGAAGCGTGGGCAGGCGATCGGCTAACTACTGTAGTATTTTACTCAATTCGCATGTCACATGTCACACCTGTCAATTTATGCGAAATTTTTTCGTATGTCACACCAAATCTTCCAAAATCCCTTCCCCAAATGGTAATTTATCCCAATTTTCCGCGCCTGCGGCGCCGAAAGTTGCCTAATTAGGCAATTTGATGCCATCATACGAATTGCGAATTTCGTATGCGATGTCACGCCAAAAATGGCATTCGGATTGAGTAAAATACTACAGTAATGCCGGCGTCACGCGTGACCAATCGTGATCGGTTCTTCTTCTGTGCCACGACGACGGTCAAACAAGGTCCTGCGCTTGTCCTGCGCAGTGCGCGGGCGCCAATGGGCTTGCATGCGCAGCGAAAGGCTCGCCGAAAGCGATGACTATCTCCGAGAGGGTCCTCCTTGGTGAAACGGGGGCGCTAACGACGGGACGCGGATCAGCGGGGACATCGGCGCGCTAAGTCGGCGGTGTGCGTCGCGTCTGTTGCGGATCCGCTGGGCACCCGGCAGACAGAAGTATATTCGGCGGCATCGGTGCGTCATCGACGACTCGGTGCATTGTACCACTATCGTAGCGCGCTCTTCGTGTGCGACGAAGCCGCTGAAGACCCACCCTGCGCCTTCACCCCTCGCAGTTCTTTGCCCTGATGTTGTGTGCAGTTGTTGCTTAGGACCTGGCGAGACCCGAGTGGCTATGTAGCGCGGGCGAGCTCCACCTTACTGACGACTTGACCGGCTAAACAAACAAATCCAGTACTTATAAAAGCGGAGTCCCCGCTGCGGTCAAGGTCCATCGAACCCTTCGACTCAACATGTTTGCTGCTACCTTCCTCATCGCACTCTCCTTCGCCGCGGGCCTGAGCTCCGCCACGCCCGTCGCCGGTGTGGCCCCGGGCCCGCTCGCGAAGCGCGCGTCGTTCCGGGCTTGCTCCGGCGCCCAGCAAGACGCGGTGAACCGCGCCGCCGGCGCCGCGCAGAGCTACGCGGACCAGGCGGTGGAATACATCCAGACCACCGGCGACACGGACCGCTACCGCACGTGGTTCGGCGAGTTCACCCATCCGCGCCACACGACCGTGTGGGACAACTTCAAGCGGATGGCCGGCAGCCGCTTCGACTCGTACACGGTGCGTCGTCCGCTTTTGCTCTGCGAGTATTTAGAGGCGTCGCTGACCGCGGCGCAGTACGACTGCTCGTGCACGATGCCGTACTTCGGGCAGGTCGACCCCGGGAGGTTCCGCGAGGTCACGCTCTGCGCGGGCTTCTGGGACGCGCCCCCCGCGGGCGCCAACTCGCAGGGCGGCGCGCTCGTGCACATGGCGTCGCAGTTCACCGCGGTCGCCAGCACCGACGTGCGCTTCGCCGGCATCGACGCGGCCCGCAACGTCGCCCGCAACGACCCTGACCAGGCGTACGTGTGCCCCCCCTCCCGTGCACGTGTCCTGACTTCAACCCTTCAGCATCGGCAACGCCGGCAATTACCAGTTCTTCGTCGAAAACTAACTTGAATGGGCTACTTGCCGCAGACTTTTGATAATGTTACTACGGATACATTACCTTGCTTTCACCTTGTCCCGGTGTAAATTGCCATAATTCTCATCAACGGGGATTTTCCCAAGATTTTCCAAAGAATTGTCAACAAATGACATTGTCAAATTACAGCCCGAAGCCATATGAACACCCCCGCTTTCTTGTCTTTTTCTTGTTGCGCACAGCACAGCACCTGGCTCTAGGGCTCCAGCCATTTTTATTTCTGTTGGTGAAAATATTAAATAAATAGAAACACAAACATAAACAGTATTTATAAATGGTTCTGGTAAATCAGACACAACTTGGGCAGTCTGTTGTCAAGTTGTTCCATATGCCTTTGTGACCTAGTGTATGTTAACAAAGGGGAAACATGATCATAATAGCCTTTTCAATCCAATGCCAATGTCAAAATATGCTTCCTGTTGATGACATTTAACATTACCAAATCAGGAATCACAAAATTTTGTCAAGTAGTAAGAAGATCTCATTTGAGCTTTGGAGACATGAAATGGGATTTTCAATACCATACCAAAGGCGTTCTAAAGCCCAGAAATACTTGAGCCGCACTGTTAATATTGATTTCAGTCTGCCAGGAGTAGAAAATATTTTACACATCATTCTCAGTCATGTGTTCCCATGTGTGTGTTCCTCCTATGGGTGCGCCTGTTTCCTGTCGAAACATACTGTGTGTTGCAGGCCCTCGGTGGCCCGACACTGTCAGGGGAACCTCCCTTTCGGCCCCTTGGAATTCCGGCCTGATTCTTGTTCCAACTCCAGTCTGGCTGTCAGGGGAACCCCCGCTTCCGGCCTCCTTCGGACCCTCCGAACGCATCCGAGGCGCATCCGACCGGCGCCCCCTCGGACGCTCCGACCCACCCCGACCATCGTCCACGGCCTCCTTCGCCCGCACAATCACCGATCTGTCAAGACCCTCCCAACGATCACCTTGGGACAGAGCCTGCGACGCCGCTCAGGCCTTCTGCGCTCTACATCGGCAGTTACGGACGACCAGTATATAGTTGGCGCCCTAGCAGGCGGACCCTTAGAGTTTCTTCTCTTTGGATCTAGGTCGGTCCCTCCGTGTATTTCCCGTAGCTTTTATTCACGCTTTGGATCCTCCCCTGCTAGGTTTTCGTCGGAGTCTCCAGGGTTGCCCTTACACCGGCCCTCTATCTCGCCCGCACAATGACCGATCTGTCAACGCCCTCCCAACGGTCGCCCTGGGACCTTGCCTATGACGCCGCCCAGGCCTTCTTCTGTGCCTGACAGCAGCAGCTACAGATAAAGCTCCGCACGAGTGTCAACACCCGCGGATGAGTGCACAGGTACCTGCAGGAAAACATCCGCAGGTTTGACATCCGCGGATACAGGTATCCGTTTCCCACGGATGCCAAGAGTACAGGTATGACTCTGGAAGATCTCAATTTTCATTATCTTCCATATATTCCAGTCACTACAGTCTTCTTATGCCCTGTGGTGTCCATATTAGTATATTACTTGAGTGTTAAGTGCCGTGTCGACCAGAGGGACGGAGACGGAGACGGAGACGGAGACGGAGACGGAGTCGAAGTCGGAAACGGAATCGAAGTCGTAGAGCACTTGGGGCGGAACACCACAGAAGGATGTTTGGGTGACCGGGGCTTCCAGTTGACCAAGACAAGACAAGAAGGGAAGAGCGGAGTCGAGACGACGCTGGGAGATAGAGACCAGCAACGTTAATTTACAAACTGAAGTACGTGATAATACATCAAAGTATTTATAGTACGAGAAGTAACGGAAACGGAATAAGGTATAACAAAGTAAGTAACAAGATTAGAACAAAGTCAAGTAAAGTAGAAGAGGAGTTGCATACGAGGAACAAGGCATAGATGATTGCATAGATCATAAGTCGGAGTAATTGGAAACGCTCAGTAAATCTTCATTGCGTAAAAACCAAATACCGGAGACGGATATCGGAGACGGATGCCGGAGTCGGCACGGATATAACAGTATCCCCCTCTTGCGCTTTCTTGCCCACAAGAAACAGGAGCAATGGTCGTAGAGGTAGGAGTCGGAATCGAAATGTGTCGGAGTCAGAGTTGGACTTGTGAAAATTTTGAGTCGAAAGCCGGAGAGGCCGAGATCACCGAGGAAGCCGGTGAGAACGTGATAATAGCAAGGAGGACGAAAAAGGAAAGGGGTGACAAGAAGCACGTCACCGCTTGACATCAATCTCTCTAACTTCTCCTCTTCCCACCATGCCACCTAAACGCCAAAACGCCAAAAACACGAAGAAGACCAAGAACCTGTACACCAACGCGGTGGAGCAGGTCGAGGAGTTGTCGGAGACGGAGAGGGTCGGTGGCTGGGTTGGGGGGACAGACAGAGACCCCTTGGCTGACGCGTTACCGTCGGGTAGCAACCGACGCGTAGACATGCGGAGGGAGTTGGAGGAGTTGGAGCGGAGAGCGGAGAGGCTGCGTGCTGAGCTCGCGGGAGATGGCTCCAAGGGCACCGTCACCGGGTGGTCGGTCGGAGTCGTACGATCCCGAAGACCCGGTTGACAACGAGCCAATCAACGAAGAGGAGTCCGAGCACGGTTCCGTCATAGCCCCATTGGCAGTGGTCCCGGACGATGAAGCGGAGCTCATCGAACGAGCGGCCGAGTACCATCGGAGCCGCGCCGAGCAGCAGCGAGCCAGGGTGCTCAAGGAACAAGAGGAGGAGGCCGAGGCCAAGCGGA